TGTTCTCTGTTTTGTGCATGTGACATTACGGCAGATCCTTTACAGAACAAGTATGTTTTTTTCCCCTCACAGCTTCTTTGTGTTTGTGCTGTCTTTTGCAGGAGTTTGTGACAGCGGTATCTAATGATGTTAAAGCGCTTCCAGCTCTCGGGGATCAACTCACCGAACTAGAGAGGAGTCTAAAGCGAAAGTAAGTGAATGGATTGATTGATCCTGCAGCTGGCCATGCGTGTTTGTCATTCTGGACCCAGCACGCATGATCCTACTGTCCATGCATGCAACTAGAACTCAAGCTGCAGGTCTTATGGACAGTTTCACAAACATGCATATCTCTAACTTAAAAGTTGCTTGTTTTTGTTTTAATACTATAGCACTGACGACGCCAGAGTCTCAAAGAAAAAGGTAAGACTCGATTTGTCCTTTTTAAATCAAAGTGCATGTGCAAATAGTTGATATGATAGTTCATGATAACCGGACCTGTTAAACCTCACAGCACAAAGTGCTACTGCGGCAGTTCAGTATGGGAGATGAGAAGCTGCAGAAACGTCAGCCCATCAAGAGTAATGATGAAAGTGAGTAAGGGTGTGTCTTCACATTATTAGATCAATGTTTGATGCAACAGTTGTCAGCTAGAGAGGTTTATATCAGTTTGTTGTTGCACTCTGCTGTCATTATATCTGCTTTGAAACCTTTTTTCAGCAATGTCTTAACTTCATCAGGTCTTTTTTTTTTACCATAAAAGGCACATGTCTACTTCTGTTTGCAGACTGTACTTCCTTATTAATGGGGGATCGTATTTCTAAGTAAGAGGAAATGAGTATCAAGAAACTTTAACATATTGGATCTTAATATTCTCTTAAAATAAAGCAACCTGAGTAGTTTCACTTAAAAGTAAAACTATCCCGGATTTCACAAGAACAATTGCTTTAATCCAACTGCCATCTTTCCACTTCTTCCTTCCTTCTTGCTGACGGTCCCATATTTTCTCTGATTCATGCCTCCAGTTCTGCTCAAAGTCTACTGCTGTGACCACACCTACACAACTATTCGTGTCCCCGTGGGCGCCTCAGTCAGGGAGGTCGTCGGCGCTGTGGCCGACAAGCTGGGATCAGCAGAGGACCTGCTCCTGGTCGGCCTCAGTTCTGCAGGAGGTGAGAGTGGCGGCATCAGCAGCGTGTTAATCAAATGGTTGGAGGTGGCACGAGGGCACAACGGGGCACCAACGACTCACTGGATTATTTAGTGAAAGATTTGTTGCCATTTGCAATACAGCACGTGCTGAAGAGGGGACTTTAAAGCAGCTTGAGAGAAACTTAAGCACAGTTGTTGAGGCTGTTGGTGCTCGTGGCGGCTCTTTACTGTGGTGATATCCCATTGGTCCACACTTTACTTTATTTAAAGGCAAGCAAACGGATAAAGAGCTGGAGCTTTTCTCTTGCTTGGAGGTCTTTGCAGCTCATAACTTATCATTAACATAACATAACATATCTTTAATCAATGAACTTGAGGTTTGCAAGAAGGGTCTATCGTCGCATGAAACCGACACTTTGCAACAATTCCCATAAAATAGCAAATTTAAGCAGTTTTGAACTCTTTTTTGTCATGTTGTTTGTTCCACAGAGAAAGTGATCTTCAAGCCCAATGATGTTTCTGTGTTTTCCACACTCAGCATAAATGCACGTTTGTTTGCCTGCCGGAGGGATCAGTTGGATTCTTTGGTGGGTTGATCTCTAATAAACAGCACATTATAATCATATAAACAAAGGGCTGACTGAAATATTATGTGCATAACTAATGATCTTTTCAATACTTTGCCCTAAACACATTTTTCCTATTTAATTTCACATGCTTTTAGGATACACAGTAAATGTGTAGATTAACTTTTACTCTTATTAGCAATCTTCTTGTGTCTTTTTTAACATGTGAATGTATTTGGCTCATATTTGTCACCCATAAAAGGCAGTTTTTACCCTCGTTTTCCAGACCCCTTTGCCCGAGCAAGAGGGTTCCTCTACAGGGCCGCTGGCCAGCTTCGAGTTAATGAGTTCCAAAGATGTGGCGTACCACATGACTTCCTATGACTGGGAGCTTTTTCATTGTGTACACGAGGTACGACTGTGATATGAGCCCAGGGGACATTATCAGAACAGCTTAATTACCTGCACACCTTCTTTGAAGTTATTGCATGAATTTAAGTTAAGTCGTGTTCATTCTTTCAGTGGATCCCGTATTTTTTTCTGTGGTGTCCAACAGCTTGAACTTCTCTACCACACATTTGGGAGGCAAAACTTGAAGAAGACCACAGTTAACCTGGACCTGTTCCTGAGGAGGTTTAACGAAATCCAGTTCTGGGTGATCACAGAGATGTGTCTGTGCTCTCAGCTCAGCAAGAGGGTGCAGCTTCTCAAGAAGTTCATCAAGATTGCTGCTCAGTAAGTGGACTATGTCTACTCTGCTTTTCATTTGGACTTGAGCTTGTAGTTTTGTTTGTTCTCACCTCTAACGTGCACCTTTTCACATTTTCTGTCGAAGTTGCAAAGAGTACAGGAACCTGAACGCCTTCTTTGCTGTCATCATGGGACTGAGTAACCCAGCAGTGTGCAGGTTGAGTCAGACCTGGGAGGTGGGTACCTGTCTGTTTAAAAATGATTCCTGTCCTACCAACAAGTTCAACTTTAGTCTCCTCTGTTTTCACAGAAACTTCCCAGCAAATTCAAGAGATTCTACGGGGAATTTGAAAACTTGATGGTAAGTTAAAACAAATTATTTTGCATTTCAAAGCGTCTCCGTCTTTGAGTTGTCCGTCCAGCATTCCTCGCGCCGTCAGCTGGTCAAGTGCAGGTGAGCAGTGTGATCGTTCCCACAGGACCCGTCCAGGAACCACCGCGCGTACCGACTGACGGTTGCCAAGCTGGAACCTCCCATCATTCCCTTCATGCCGCTGCTGATCAAAGGTTTGAGTGGTTGATTTGTTTGATGACCATTTATTCATTGATTCAACATGATCTTTAGCTGAGCAGCGCAGTTGTTTTGTTGTTGAATTTCCTCTTCAACAGCTTTAACCATTCAAACAATTGAAATTGAATTGAAACAGTTTTTTTCCGCAGACATGACATTCACTCATGAAGGCAACAGGACATTTATCGACTATTTGGTCAATTTTGAGAAAATGGTGAGGAGCTTAGTGTTTAATTATTGGTCTTTTTTTTTGCTTTCAGATAAATGCTAATATGTGTTGCTAATAATAACATTGTCTTTCAGCGGATGATAGCTAACACGTTGAAAATCGTGAGATACTGTCGGAGCCAAGCATTCAGTGAGTGTGCATCACAAAGGTTTAATCCTTATTGATGGAATCAAAAATGATGCACCTGAATTATAAACCCGTTCCTTGTTCATGTCTTAGGGAAGGGCATCAATGAAATAATCTATAGTTAATTTAACCATTTTACTCCTATTTCCAATTTCATCAGGCCCAGATTCCACTCAGGCCAGCAAGAACCAGGCAGAGGTTCGGACCTACGTACGTCAGTTCAAAGTGATTGACAATCAGAGGACGCTGAGTCAGCTCTCTCACAGACTCGAGCCCCGCAGGTCTTGAAGCCGCTCCGGGGCGAAAAATGTTACACTGCTTCACTAAATGACATGCGCTTGCATTTAGATGCATTTGCTTCAACACAGGCAATCCCACGAGGTGTCAGATAATGGAATATTGTCCCAGAGGCCTGACTCGTTAAGCCTTTTATTACAGTCATTTGTGGTACTCTAACCGCAGTAATTGTTGGTTTCTGATAAAGCTCTCATATCACTGTGCTGCAAGTCAAACAAGAGCGACGATTGAGGGGATTAAAAAGCTTTTGAGAGATTCTCATTCATCAGATTAACATTTCAGACGTAAACACTATGTGAAGCTGATGCTTTAAAAATGCAAAATCTTGATATTCCTGATATTCAGTTGTTTCCTATCTTTTGTATCAAACAATATTTATACATATTTAAGTTTGAATGGTATGTGTCGTTAACTGTATGCAAATATTTATTTTGACATCAGCATGCAAAGACTTTTGATTGTTTGCTGTTTTATTCATGTAAGACATTTAAATGTGCTGAAAGTATTAAATATTTTAGATGTATTTGTGTGCTGTTTTTGCCATTTTTTTATTACATTGTATTATGCAAGGAATCATGGCATTAAATGATTTATGTAGTTTGCAATATTATTCTCCATACAATAAAAAGGTTATGTGTTGTGAATCAGTAAAGTGGAGCATGAAGTTACTAGTTGCATAATGTCTTGCCATCTGAGAGGATTTGTAGAGGAGAGTACAATATTTGGGGCTAATATCATTCTCCTGGACTGAACTCGGAAGGAACTGAATAGTTATTTTATCACAGCATTATAATTATTGTGTAATGTAGAACTCACGTTAAAGGTTTTGCCAACCAACCCTTTATGTATTAGTTGATTTGTATTTTATATTTTAAAAATCTGCAAAGTACCTAGTAACTAATATGTCAACTAAATAAAGTAAAAAGAAGAAAAAGTATTGGCTTCTAGTTTAGGTGAAGTATATAAAGTATAGACTACAGAATATAAGTATAAAGTAAGGTGCAAGTATCTCAAATGGGTTCTTAAGCACAATGCAGTATATCTACATGTTATACCTCTGAAGTAAAATGGAATAAAGTAGTAAAATGTTTACTGGCAAATATAGGAAATATCACAATGCATAAAAACTCAGATATAAGTCTTATCAGAAGTTCCAATGGGATTAGAACATTTTAAGGAACCTCTGCGAGATTCTGACGGGGACCTCTTCTGGTCCGCGGACCACACGTGGAGCACCACCGTCCCGGGACGGTGCGGGTCGAAACAAAGGGGGCCGCTGAAGCCGGAGCTGCAGCCCCGCAGCGGTCCGCCGGGGGGCGCTGTTGTCACGGGGAAGCTGCCGCTTCTGGTAACTACCAAGTTGTGCAACCAGTAAAACCACCGCGGGGTGAGGAGGGCAGACGTTAGAACAACGTCACACGAGACTTCCCGGAACTCCCCGTTCGTCCCGGTTCCAAGCTGAACGCTCCCAACGTGAAACCGTCCCGAGGAGGAGACGAGGAGGCTTCCCGCTGACCGCCGGTACGTACGTGATTTAACGTCGCGGTGTGAACGTTAGATGCAGAGTTCATCACTCTACAGAAACGCTGCACTTCATTTTCATACAGGTTTATTTTTGGTTTTGAATCGTGAAGTGCGTCTGTGAAAAGTGTGATTTTAACACGTTACAGCTCTGATAACGATCAATACCCCCCCCCCCCCCGCAGGCCGGTACAGTAAACTATGTCAAGGTTGAATATGGAGAAACGTTCACGTGTTCAGTGCATAACTCTAATCTATAGAGTCGTGTACTTGCAAATGCCAATCGAGGCATGATCAGCAACAAGATCATTGATAACTAATAACTAATAATTGACATAATAATATTTCGATGTCATCCAAAACAAAAAGCTGGACAGGTCACCGTGCTATGTGCTGGCCTGTTGTGATTTGTCCCCTTATTTGTTATTGATTAGAGTATTTACCTGAGGTTGGACATGTGGCTATCGGGCCCCTCATTGTTGCCCTGTTTGCTGTGAGGTGAGAACAGGCAGGGAGGAGTGCTCGCATATCCCAGTAACCCCGGCTTTTTGAGTGGACCACAACACTGTGGGCTGGTCCGCTGAGCAGATTGCTGCGAGGCTAAGTATAGCGTGCATACAAGTAAATCAGCAGAGAGCAATGACCCCCCCCATACACCCCTTTGTGACAATGGAGGCATTTCCCGCTGTGAGGGATAGCAATCCCAATGAATACCCAGGTAACAGCTTTTTAAAAGCCATAATTGCTCCGCTTGAAATGGGAGACCTATGAACAATAACAGAACTACAATTTCCTGTAATGAGGGAATTATGTCTTTTACAAGATGCTTTTATGGCTCTTACAGACAAACAAAGGGATGCGATAATCAATCTGTGTGGACTCCAGTATGGGAGCATCACATTTCTAACTCTCACTGGATGTACAGATGATTTTCGTCTTAAAACCGCCCGCTCTCTCTCGCTCTCTTTATTCGTGGCCTCGCTCGCACCGAACGCCGTGTGACTTTGGCTCCGTGATCACAGCATACCAGGCATGCCATCGCTCTTATATAAGCAGAGTCTGGACCCTGAACTCACTGCTTACTGGTACTGATGATGAGGAGAGTGTGTGTGTGTGTGTGTGTGGAGCAGAGGAAAGGCACAGTGAATGACACAGCAAAAAACAACAACAGGGCTTTCACACACAGACGCGCCATGCAGAGTCAGCCGCAGTCGTTCCCCTTTCCAAGATCGCGTCGGAGTCTCACCCGACCTGCGTGCGTTTCAGAATGGAGCACCTCGCGCAGCAGGAGGCCTTTCGCTTACCCGCGCAGGACTCGGTTGAGGGAACCAGCCGTCCTTCCTTCACTGTGACCCCCCCGCCCCTCCACAGAAGCAATCTTTGTGCCGAGTGTCATTACGAGATGTTGTCTCCGAGCGCCTCCTTCGTGCAAATCAAGTTCGCCGACGTCCTCTTCTACGAGAACTGCGGCGGCGGCAGCTTCGGGAGTGTGTACCGAGCCAGGTGGATCTCCCAGGATAAAGAGGTGGCGGTGAAGAAACTGCTCAAGATTGAAAATGAGGTAGGAGTCATAATTGCCTGGGCTTTTCATATACTTTTAATTGTCAGTATGATGCTCATTTTAATTGCTACCCCATGCGGGGGGGACACGGTTACTTATGCACCCGTCACTCATGGTCATTATACACCCCCACTCTCGGAAATATGCAGGGAAAGAAACAGTATTGGCAAATGAAAGAATGTATTTGGGCCAATTACAGCAGGGGCTGTTCCCGAGATTGCTTTAAAAGCTCAGGCTCATTGTCTTACAGACAAAAAAGAACTATCTTAGAAATCTTGTCAGGGAAATGGCATTATATTTGGCCTGTGATTGGGTGTTCACAAAGCGATTCATGGTTTCTTTTTTGAAATTGTAAAAGATCATAGAAGTGTCGGAGGGATGAATGTTCAGTGGAAATTATATTGTAATCCTTTCTAGTTGAACCAATTGTTCATTTAATTACAGTGTTGGGCCACAATTATATAAATTGGTTTTGTCACGTTTCTGTTCATTCAAGGAATAGTTTCACAGAGATCTTTTTGGATTTCCGTGTATTTTCTTTTACTAATGTTGGTTGTCCTGAGTGGGTGAAGGTTACTGACTTAGATGGGACTCTGGCTTTTACTACACGGCTCAACAACTGTTGGATAACGTGCTCTCGCCTCTAATTTGGTAAAAATGTCATGTCAAGTTAATGATACCAATCTACCAATCTTTATTTATGTTTAATGCTTATTACCAAATGCTAACCCTCTAAACATGGTGAAAAACAAACCTCCCTAGCGTCATCATGTTAGCATTTTAGCAGACTGGCGTTAGCAGTTAGCTCAAAGCGCCGCTAGCCATCAGCGTAGCTCGCTGACCCCTGTTTCCTTAGACAGATGTAGTGATGTTAAGACATTTGTGTAACAGTAGCATCAAAAAGTGCCAGCTATGTGTTTTGCTGTGTTCATTTTGTAGGCTGAAATCCTCAGCGTGCTCAGCCACCGCAACATCATACAGTTCTATGGCGCCATCGTGGAGGCTCCCAACTATGGAATCGTCACAGGTGAGATCTTTTCAAAGACGTGTCATAAACACGGTGTGTCCCGATGACGATCAGTGTTCGCCAGAGCTGTCCGGCTGCGTCGTGAGAGAAAAGAATCTGTTTGCATCAGTTGCAGTTTGCTCAACGCTGAATGGTGCAAAGGCCTCTATAGAAACATTAGAGAATGCCGGTCGCTTCGGGAAGTGCACACATTGATACAGTAGTTGTGTGTGAATTTAGGTTATAGGCGGTAAAGAATAAACCTCATGTAGCAAGGGGGCTCACGACGCCTCCGCACAAACGTTTCACTTCACTGTGGAGATGTCAATTGCAGTCCTCTCAAGACCCAAGACAACATTTTCTAATTCCTTATTTGGTCCAACATATTGAAGGAAGACATTTGGTTTAATTTAATATACAATTATGTAAATCAACAAATGTAAAAGTTTCAGAATCTGGAAACAGGAATTAAAAAACAGCAAATGTTTCTTCACAAATTTGGCTTCAGAATAAATCAAATCAATTGCTGCAAGTTTATTTTCTGCCAATCGACTATTCAATTAACTAATAACTTAAGCACAATATGAAATTGAGATTTAATTTGCAGTTGCACGAATGTGACTCACGTCGCGTAATTGCAACCTCTTGAACACAAACATTGCTCTTCTCCTGTAATTACATTTGTTTCTCTATTTCACATTCCTAGTCACCTACATACTGTTAAGTGTCACTAAATGTACAAGTAAAACTTCACACTTTTCCAAGTGAATATTGCTTGAACTTTCAGTTGGTAACTGAATTGGGATTTTGGTGTTTTTGTCAAATGGAAGTGCTCAATTTGACAGTAAAAAAACCGGTAAGTGATGCAAGATCACATGCTCGGGTCTATTGGGATGTTCTAATGGTAGAATATATTTGACAGTGTAGGGCTATTTATTTAATAAAATGAAACATTTACATAAAGCAAGCCAATCCACTTTTTCATGTTGATAAACGGTATATCTCTCTACTGCAGTGTTACAAAACTACCATGCAAACAAAAGACAATACATTATGCAAACACCCAAACACTTTTAGTCTCCAAAACAGCAAACACATGCTCCAAGTAAATTACTAAATCAGTTTTGAAAAAGGAAATGCTGTAAAAAAAATATTCAAGACAAAAAGAAAAAATAAGCTGCTTTATTTTTTGTTTATTAACAGCCTGTATTATAAAGTGGGAATTCAAACAAGAAAATGTAGTTGTTTCCAACTGCAAAACTCTAATGCCATTTACATCAGGAAATATTATTTCTCCCCTATTAGATCCATTAAAAAGTTTCCTTGGGTGACACATTGTTAGCATGACTCCAATCATCTCAGGTACACTCCGTAACCCTCAGTGACCCGAGACATCTGTTTTTAAATATCCATCCCCATGCTGATCATTTACCATTTGTTTCCTTTTTCTGTGGATTGGAGCGCAGTAGAATGCTCTCCTGAAACCTCACCTCGGACGATATGTTAACGTGACAACTGCTGCCGCTCCAGAGTTTCCCATCTAGTTTTGCACACCGTGCTTTCTATGAAATAAGTGAGCGTGGGAGAACTGTATAAAAAGAACATTTTCTTCAGGCTCCCCCCCCATATAATGGTAGGGGAAACACTGGAGAGGTTTTGATGTCAAGTAGCTGATTGATGTCTGTATTTGTCGGAGCACAATCTAATTGGCAGCAGATGCAGGAAAACGTTTATTGCCGTCCTGACCATCTCGTGTCCACATTCATCAGCTCCGTCATAAATGTCCGCTGACTGTTGACATAAAGCATCGGGCCAGACAGTTCCTTCTTTCTGCAGAAAATATCTAAAACTCGTTTGTCCCTGTTCACCTGCATGGGTTGGACCATATCTGTCCCTCGATGACGTCTCAAACACAATACTTTTAAGTCCAGCCTGATCTCCAAAACCTGTTCGTAAAAATGTATACGAAAATCTTGAAGATACAAATTCGTAGTGATACATACTAAATAAATACGGACTGCAACTGATGACGTCACCCTATTCAAAGTGAATGGGGACCTGCACCCCGTAAACACACTTCGTGAAGTCTAACGATGTAAAATAAACATGTTATGATTGCATTTTTAACGAGAAATCAGTGTTAACTTGTAAGAATAGAATACTGACCCTAACCCCCTCAAAAACCCCAACATGGCGGAGAGACGTTCACTCAAGAATCCAACATGGCAGAGAGACGTTCACTCAAGGGGCGTGGTTAACCACCGCCAGTTCGTATGTATTGTTACGAATTTCTATGTCAAATATTTCGTATACATTTTTACGAACAGGTTTTGGAGATCACGTTGTTAAGTCAGTTATTGTTTTGGGGTAAAGGTACATTTAGCTGTGATAAACACTGCAAAATTCTGGGAATATTCAAAGTTGGAAACTTTCCATGGGAATTAACAGGAATAGACTGGAAATCTTGGGAAAATGTAACTGTAAGCAACGTTTTGTTTGGTCATAACACATTTCTAATACAAATTTTAAAAAATCCACCTTTGACTAAGACTGAGTGAGTAAGACTTTATTCTTTCATTAAACGACAAAAACATTAACATAAAATTCCCGAGCTTAACTTCCCATGGAAACCTTCCAGAAGCTTTCCCCCCCTTTGTAACACTATTTGCACTTAAAGGTATCAAAACTTTGTTTATTGATCAGATGAAAGTGCTGTTACGTCACTTAGTCATGTCCTTCATGGGATGTGGATGAACTTATTTCATAGATTAGTCTTCACTTGGCGTCAGGTGAGCTTCTTACATTACAAAATATATTTACTGTTGGACAGCTTCTGCCACAATGCAAATGCAAAAGGGCAATTAAAGATCTAGAAGATAAGATGTGTATTTTATCATTGTTAATTAAACTCCTGCCTAGGCGCCTGTGTCTGTTTACACTGTGTTGTAACGTGAGTGAGTTATTATGCACAAACAGAGGTTTCCTGCTGTTCTATCTGGTATCTCTATCCAGGCACCGTACCTCCCAACGTCTCTGCTGACAGGTACAAACGTCCTGGAGGGATTTTGCAAACGACTACATGGTTGTCAAAACCGTGTAGTGGTTTCGTTCAAATCAGCGCAGAGAGACTGTTTATATGTGTTTTTAAGGAGTCGCTAACATGTGGGCTTCTGAGGGAGCAGCGTTCTTTTACGTTGTGATAAATTGAGCACATATACAGCGACACAAGAGTCAGAAGGCTTCCAGGAATCATCTGGCAAAATGTCTCACCAAGCGCCTTCACGCACTGCACTCGTGTTAACAATGCAACGCTCACTATCAGACATTTCACCATTGCCGGTCATCACTTATATAAATATAAACTAACATGGCGACATTTCTCCACAGAGTACGCCAGCGGCGGATCGCTGTATGATTACCTGTCCAGTGCTGAGAGTGAGGAAATGGACATGGGGCAGATAATGACGTGGGCTGCAGAGATCGCCAGAGGTAAATGTGACGATCTCGTTTCCTATCACAGTCTATTAATCCACAAATTAAAAAATACTTTTTGCAGTGTTAAGTCGTTGAGGCCAGCACACATGGTTGATGATGATGTCTTTTAGACCGTTTTTTATAGACCAAACAACCAATCAATTGATCGACAATGATGATGATAATCATTAGCTGCAACCTTTAACCTTTAGAATAATAAGACAAAATAAACCCTCAAACAATTATTCAATGCCTTCAGTTACAGTAACATTTTATGTTTCTTAAAAAAAATTAAAAAGTGGACTCTGAGCTTCTTTGTCTGCTCCTTCTTTAGACTCTTTGAAGACAGCTTGCAAACATTTTAGATCCGATCAAGTTTATCTCGTGTTATTGGTCAGAGCCACCAGTTCATATATTTATGTTTCCAGTGACCCACCTCTGACAAACGTCTTTATTTCCACATTAGGAATGCACTATTTACATTCAGAGGCCCCTGTTAAGGTGATCCACAGAGACCTGAAGTCCAGGAACGGTAAAGGATTTGATTTCTGGAATGTGTTTGTTTCCAATTCATCTACATTCATTTGTATACATACACCTTTGTGTATACATAGTTGTTTTGACTTTTTATCTTCCCTTACAGTTGTTGTGTCAGGAGACAAGGTTCTCAAGGTGTGTTTTTATTATGAATTTATACACATTTGGCTGCACAATGAGAGGTGATATTGTCTGGTCAACTGCGTGTTTCATTTTTTATCTTTTAAAAGGAATAAGAACATGAAATAGTGGTATGTTATTTACATACAACATGCGGACACAAGAGGGCAGTGACTTACCTTGCTTTTACAAGAGCCAGTTTCACTGGTGTGCTTTTCTGTGGACGGGATGAGTAGAGAGGAGATTAAATCTCTTATAAGGGGGGTAGTTTATTTTTTGTGTCTGCTGTATCATCAGACGAGAGTATCACCAATAAGTACACACATATAGTTCATTTTGATAGTCGGTGCGTCGCTGTATTATTATATGGATGCTGGCTATGGATACTTACCGTTCATTTTTAGATGCAAGCTTAAGCTTAATTCGTTTTTGTCACTCCAGATCTGTGATTTTGGGGCATCCAAATTCCTGACCCACACGACACACATGTCCTTGGTGGGCACGTTTCCCTGGATGGCCCCCGAGGTGATCCAGAGCCTGCCTGTGTCTGAGACGTGTGACACTTTCTCCTACGGAGTGGTGAGTGACCCGAGATCATTGTTTTGGCACATGTTGTACGAGTCAGCGGACATCTGAGACGCTGACTGAGTTCTGAATCAATTTGAGTTCATACTTACCAAGTATGTGCTGCTGCATTCAGTAAGCATTCAACTGGGACACACCGCTGCCTCATAACATTGAGCCATTGCACCTTGAACTTCCAGCCATTTGCGGGTCTATCAAAAATATTTGATGTCCAAATGACATCATCAAGTCCAAATAAATGTGTTAATCTATGGCGCATCAGAGATCAATCACCAGACCAAAACCGCCGGCCAGTCCCACCGTTATTTATGCATTTCTTTATTTATATTGAATATTATAAGTAAAAAGCCTCTTAAAAATGTATTTGTCTTTCTTCTAACTGGAACTGTTGTGAATTTGCTGTCTGAAGACTCTTTGAAGTAGTTTCAAAAGAGAAACCATCTAAGAGCTTAAAACAATCGCAGCTCCTCTCAAAAAAATTATGTTTCTCGGAGCTATAAAGTGCCTCTTTTAGTGTACGTTTGCTGTCTTCCCGCACTGGCACAATTCTAAGGAACTGATTTTTACAGCATGAATACAGAGACGTAATGAGAGGCAGCTGGTGTAGACATGTAGAGTACAGTGAAGCCCTTTGGTGTTTGACAACACGGACCTCCACCTTTTCCTAATCTTCTTTTTAAAAGATGTGGACTCAGGTTGAATTCTGCCAACGCTGCTAAATACCACTTGAGAAGCACCTAAACGATCAAAGCAGTGCTGTTATTGCCCCTGTGAAGTCAGCCCCTAATCGTTGCAAAATGTATTATTCATGCAGTGTTTTTTTCTGTGAAACCCAGCGGGGCAAAACAGGAGGGGTGTGTGTGTGTGTGTGTGTGTGCATATACATTCATCTGTGCGTATAATTCTACAGTTATGTATACATAAATATATAACTCTGTTTGTTCACTGACCTTGGTTCTTTACTTCTGTGACAGGTGCTCTGGGAAATGCTCACTCGTGAGATACCCTTCAAAGGTCTGGAAGGTCTACAAGTGGCCTGGCTCGTGGTGGAGAAGAATGAGGTACTCCAATGTGCGACTGTGTGTGTGTACCGCGGACGGTAGTGACCCAATCGTTATCGCCGAGAGGCCGAAGCGCCCGGCTTAGCTTAGGTTACCTTCAACGCTGCAGCGACAAAGTAAATGAGCATCCAAAACGTCCAAGAATCCCTTCTGATTGGGCAGCGTGTGTGTTTCAGAGGTTGACCATCCCGAGCGGTTGTCCCGCCAGCTTCGCCGAGCTCATGAGGAACTGCTGGGCAGCGGAGCCCAAGGTGAGCGGTCCGCCCAGTTACCGCGGCGTGCGAGTCGACGACATGTGAATGCCTTCGTCTGAATCAAATGTTTATATGTTGACGCAGGAAAGGCCAATGTTCAAGCAGATCCTCTCTACTTTGGATTCCATGTCTAACGACAGCCAACTTCCTCAACAGTGCAACTCTTTCCTTCACAACAAGGCTGAATGGAGGTAATGTGCTCGTCTATTCTCCCGCGCCCAGTAAATGTATTTATAACTCTCTTTTTCACCAACATACTGCCTCAGCCTAAGGAAATGTGCAACTGTTTTCAAAGACTGATGTGGAAATGTAGCTGACGGGGGCCGTGAGATACAAAAAAGGATTTGAGATTGTGCATATAGATCTTTAATAATTACACTGATAGCTACATAAAGGCATGAAAACCTCCACAGAATCATCCATCTGGATATACTTCCTCTCTTTACCCATAGGGCCCTAAAAATAATCACCATCTTTTTCAAGTAGAAGTGTTTAATTGGGTTGTATGAGCAGCTGGAGGTTTGGTGATGTTCAGCACAGCCTGAGTCTCAGCTGTTACTTTATTCTCTGTCTGCCTCTCTGCGGGGCTTGTCTGTGCTCTGAGGTTTTTCTTCAGAAGTTGTGCTGGTGGCATCGTGTCCAGGCAGCCATCTGCAGGTGCAGCAGGTTGGAGTGAAACTCGCTGCTGGAAAACAGAAAGCGAGAATGTGTGTGACAGAAAGACGCATTTGTTGTAGCTCGAGAGGTTTGACGCTATAAGTTTAGCTGAAGGCTGTTAACCAAGTTTGGCATATAAGCCTGAGTTGAACGTCACAACATCAGTGAAGAACAACCACTTCTTTACCGCAGACAGTCTCGCCTTTTCAAACCTGCATTTATCTCTCCAGCTCGCCGTCATCACTTAATTTCCATGTACGCACAAGTGTTTAGCTGCTCTTTTAGCATTCAATGTGTTTCACCTCAGTTCTTTTGTTCATTCTGTACATGTGATATCTATTGCGGTTCTGTCCGTCCTGGGAGGGGGGATCCCTCCTCTGTTTTCCTCCCTGAGGGTTTCTTCCTTTTTCCCCCTCTTCCTTTGTGAGGGTCCCTGGACAGAAGCAATGTGTACAGATTGTAAAGCCCTCTGAGGCAAATTTGTGATTCGGGGCTATAGAAAATAAATTAATTGAGTTTAAGATTCTTCAGTTAACAGGACAATGGGGAAAGCCCAGATATTTGTCTGGAAATTGGTAGGCAAGAGAACACGTTATTTGGGAAGTTGGCCAAGAGAACAATAATTTGAAGCGGGAAGCATCCGGGTGGAGTAAGCGGAGGACCGGGAGGATGAAGGATGGGCTTTCCTGCCACATTGTCCCGTCCCTGGCAGCCTACGCCATAGACACGTATCACCTCCCGACCTTTTTCAGTTTAACGTTATGGTGTTTTTGTATGGGCCCGTGCATCTCGTGCACCTCGTGGTAACTGACATTCATTTGACCTTTTTTTCCCACTGGGTCTCACATCGAATGGAATGACCTAAACATGTTACACCACCTGCAAAACAAATGGCTCTATAGGGCAACTGTGTATGAATAAATTCTATATTCACTCCTGATATGAAAGAAAAGATGATGTCGTGCCCGTCTTTAACGTTTTTAAAAAGTTGTTGTTTAGTGCAATTGCTGACATTGTTCCATCACCGTTCCCTGCAGGTGTGAGATCGAAGCTACGCTTGAGAGGCTTAAGAAGCTGGAGAGAGACCTGAGCACCAAAGAGCAGGAGCTGAAGGAGCGAGAACACCGCCTAAAGATGTGGGAGCACAAACTCATCGAACAGTCCAACAGCCCGGTGAGTTTCCCCCTCGTGTCCTCTCCGCCTCGGTCCACCTTCACCTGCGAGACATCCCGCTCCAGCAGAAAGCGCTTGGTGTTGACACTGCTGTCCCCACATGCTGGTTCCCTCAATCCCATCGCAGGAGGGACAGAATCCCTCTGATCCGCCTCCAGGGTGACGTGGAAACAGCAAAGCTGTGGAATGAAAAATAATAAAGCGCGGGATCAGGTGCATTATGGGCAGTGTGCATTTTCGGCAGTATTTCATTTATGTAGTACATGGTCGGCCGTGATGACGCACACAGCGAACGCTGCATCATGTTGAATTGTGCGCGCTGCAGAGCGGCGGCGCGCGGCGTTGCTCATCGGGCCGTTTGTCTCCTTGCATGGCGGCGTTGGCCTGGCTGCACGTTGTGTGTTTGTGAACACAACGTGTGCGTCAGAATGCCCCGGTGGTGTGTGGAACTCAAACACCTCACATCTCTTGCTGTGTTTCCTATCGGCTCCTATCCTCCCATTATGCTTTTGTTTCGGTTGTGTTCCTTTGACCTTGTAGTTTTCTTCTCGGGTTTGGGTTTAAGATCGTCCCCTTTTTTATTTTCCACTCACGTTGTGTTTTGAATCTTGATTACTTACTTCCTTTTCTTTTCTATCCTTCTTCTCTCTCACCCCTGTGTCCCCCCGTCCCCCCCCATGTCTTCACCTGTCTCTCAGCTCCTCTTACCTATGGCTAAAAAAATAAGTGCTATGTCAAGAAGGCAAACAGTTCCGGTAACGAGGAGGGGAATCTGCGGGCCGGGACGAAGGGCTTTGGGGACATGTTTTCCATGGACTTTGGCCCGGCCTGTCCTGCATGCAGGTCAACATCTAGGCCAGGCAGAAGTCTTCTGCGTCCAGCCGTGTCAGAGAGGGACAGAAAATCGCCATGACTTTTGAAATGGGACGACGGTGAATAAAAGCCCTCCGGCGCTGCACAGATGATCCTCAAATGTGATCTCACCTGATGCTCTAAGGCCTTTGTGGGAGCAATATTTCATAATGAACTACTTGTTAAGTCAAGATTTTTTGGATCATTTCAATTATCATGCGAAACACCAGAAAACCTTTATTGGCTTATTATTATTATTATTATTATTCTGTGTTCAAGTTGTATTCAGAAATAACTCAATGTAGCTCAGAAAGGCAATTCAGAATAAATCTGTCCCTCCGCCTATGCATATTACGGATGTCCTTTAGCATGCGTCTAATGTACTGGATGTATAGCGCCATGCTGTGAAGAAAGAGCCACATGAGCCAGTTGCTTAGAGAGGCTCAGGCTTTTATGATGAAGTGACATTTTGCTGACATTAAGATTGGCCAATTTGTTCCGGATGTGTTGGAGTGCAGTTGTTGAGACGCAGTCTCTTACCAGGACGAGAACGTATTTTTATTTTTTTTTCCTCTGTCTGACCCCGGTTCAAAACAGCAGGAGAAAGGACGTGGCTGTACGACTTTCAGCTTTATTGCTCATTTTTACGTTTTACTTTTAACGCCTTCTTGCGCCTTACAGGATTAACAAAAATTGAAGAAATAAGTCATTAAATAACAACGTCTCTGCGCTAAAATGCATAATTCAAAAGTCCCGTATCTGACCATACAGAGAATCATTTCCTTCTGTAGACATACGGATATTCACACCAAACTGAATATTCGCCTAAAGACTTCATAGTGGAGCAAATCGTATCAGCATTAGTGTTCAAGTAGGTATTAGGCCTCATCTGGGGGAAGGACACGCTTCCTTGAGCGTAGCACATTAAATTGTCCCATTCACTTGTTATCATCAGTCAGTCTCATGAGGATTCAATCCCCTGTATTTCCGTGTTGTTGCTTGTTAGCGTCCTGCCGTGAGCCAATACTCAAACATCGCCGGTACTCCTGTGCCTTCGGGCCCCGCGCACACCGGACTATTCGTAACAATTAACACAGATGCATGCAGCTCAGAAGCATTCAGCCTCCACACTTGTTAGTAATCTCATCGGGCGTCTCGCAGAATTACACGACCAGCAGCTTCTTGATGCGTCTTATTTTCCTGCATCCCTCCTTAACTCTTCGCTGATCTGTTCCACGAGCATTATGTTCTATTAGTGCTGTTATTACAGAACCCTTTATGATAAAAGGCAGAACAGAGCGTGACTGACTGCATTTTTAATCAGATTGGTTTCACGTTGAGCTGCTTCTTGTGAGGTTAACTTCATGCCACTTTGCAACTCCCAGTGTTCAAGGTCCGGTTACTCATCATCCACTTATTCCACATGGGGGCAGAATTGTGTGAACTAAACCAAAGTCTTTTGTTGTTGTTTTGTTTTTTTCCCGTTGATATGTCACGAACACAAAAGCCGCGCTCCCCATTTCGAATTGGAGATAAAGCCCAGAGAAAGAACCACGGCAGCACATTTGTGAACGAACAATATGCCGCTTGAAAAGAGCCGTTAAGTCACTCCAACAGAACTTTGGCAGCCGCAGAGTGTTTCTGAATCTGTTTACTTCCGAACCGCAGCACTGGAGGAGGCGGAAAGCGCTGCAGTGCCGGGGGGGGGGGCACTGAAATGTATGGCAACGACCGTCTATTGAGACCGGCATTCAGTTCATAACCTGAGCTGTTATCAGATGTGAATAGGGGATTATTCATTCATTTAGTCATCTTTCCTCCAATTTTTCCATGGCGTTATTTCTGTCATTACCCACCAGTCTCATGATCACAATGATGAAATCTTTATTTTGGCTGGCAAGTTTCTGCCTGATTACATTTAATGAGCAATAAATGATTTATCATTCAGACGCATTGCGTCAGATCAGTCAGATGGACATTTCGGTTTGATATAGACCATTAGAGGCGAGTCGTCCTCATCCCACAGCACAATAACCGGAAAAGTAATGGCTTCACAGACATGGAAAACATGCCTATTTTCCATTTTAATAACATTTACTTAAGTCTGTTGATTTTTATTTAAATGTCATGAATATGCGTGTTATACTGTCTGCATCCATCCATATTCTATTGCTGTTACTGCTGTTTGTGTTTGCTATTAATGCAGTTGCTGCCCCACTTTGACATCTATACATGGACAGAAGAGCATGTGGTCAGTATCATTGCATTTACCTCATAACTAATATATAATTTTTTTTTCCACACATCATTGCTAATAAAAACAATATATTGCCGTTTTATTCTTTCAGTATTTCTGGATGCAACAAATATTTGGCGCAGGTTTGTTCACGCACTTTATCTTGGGTCCAACTTTTGCATCTTCACTCTTTATTTGCAATGTGTTGTCTAAAATCCTGTCCTTTTCTACCTCAGAGGAAAGCGCCTTCGGCATGCAGCTGTATGCTGACCTGTTTAAAGAGAACCACATCACTGGAAAGAGGCTGCTGTTGCTCACAGAAAACGACATGAGGGACATGGGGGTCAAATCCAAAGGTCACGCCATGCACCTCAAGGCAAGCCGCAGTTAACCACAACCGTCTAATTTCATTCAATACATTTATCAGTTACACAATGAGATTTACACCCATTTATATTGAAATTACAATGAATCTCACATTTTCTCTTCGGCAGAGTGAAATTGAAAAGCTGACGAACGATTACCTCGGTTTGGTCCACTTCCCACCGCTGTTGAAGGTAGAAACGTTTCTTCTTTATCGTTAGGAGGAATGTTTTATTTGAAATGAACTGTAATGTAATGTAATGTATATTCGGTGACCAAAACTCCCTAAACTCCTCTTTTTTCCCCAAGGATGAGCTGGGAAAGGAAGTTGAGATTAGTAAAACTGTTTGTCTGGAGCTGGTGTTCGGGTACCACTGGAAACCAGGAACTGGTAAATCTGTAAGTTTATAGTGAAGCATACATTTATACACATATGGACACACACACTGAGTACATCAACATATTCTGCAGCTGTTTGCATCAAATGCATCATTCGCTCTGTGAAAGCCGGCCAAAAGGAAACGCAGGACAAGTGCGAATAAATGTTGTAACTCCTTTGATTATTAACTTGTAACATCTTTAGTACACTCCGTAAGACCGTTCCTTTTCTAAGTAGAGTGCGGAATAATGTGTTTGCCCGGATTGAATCAGCCTCCTTGTGCTGAAGCTGTTAGTTCTGAGGATTCACGATGACGGCTGATGTGCTGACCATTGAAGGCATCACCAGACATACATAAAACCAGAAGAATAAACATTTCTCTCTCAGCCGTGTAACACATCCACCTCGACTTGCTCGCAGCCCTTTGTTAGGGCCTCAAACTGTGGTGAAAGGATGGCTCTTCACTTGCTGTTTGAATTTAATCAAAAATAGCCCATTTAGCCAGAAGTCATTTTCTTTTTAAAAGGCAAACGTTATTTAATCTTTCAGCTGTTCATTGTCCCATCATAAATAGTCCTCTTTCAGTGTGTTCGGCAGGGCTGAAACGAGCCTGCTAATTGCCTCCCATTTCTTCTGACATGTGGTGGTTTAGTGGGTAGAAAACACAGCAGGGAGAAGGAAACAGGAGGCTGAGAAAATGAGAGCTAATTATTTTCCCCTGCCTGGTGTCAGGTTCCGTGTCAGCCTTGTTTTTACAAACTGGAAGGATTTTTGCACTAAATAAAACAAACCCGCACTGCATTTTTTTTTTCTTCGCCCCTCTTTGCTGGCGATGTCATGGAAGCAGCTGCACTTCTCAAAGACAAAATGAGGGCCTGCGATTGTGCGGCCACCATCTGACAGCCACTGAGGGTCCCCTGCTAATGAGGATATCACCGCGCAGCCAAGTGAAAGGTGCTGAATTATGTATGAGTTGTCATTAGACGCACTCGGGTCCTGGGCATCATTACCAGACATTGTTTCTGCCGGAGTGATTAGACTTGCGCGGACCTGGAAGCCCCGGCGCGAGCGTCCAGCGCCGACGCCGAGGCCGGCGCGAGGCCACCGGAGTGTTCCTGAGCCAGAGGCTCGCCCAAGCTTCCCCCCTTTGAGCCGTTTTCCAGCCCCCCCCCCTTCCTACCCTCCCGGGGGGACGATGCAGGAGAGGGCGAAAGGCTCCTCACACGAGTGTGTTAGTGCCACTCCTCTGATGTCTTTCTCTGTGATCACCACACAATGGATTGGCCTGCGCCGTGAACCCTGCGTGGTTAAGCGGTGACCTGTGGCTTCGTGGCCGGCTTCAGGGGATTTGGCGGAATCATTACTGCTTCGTCAGCATTCAGTATGCGGGAGAAGAGGTCTAGGGAATTGTTCAAATTCGTGCCTCCTAGTGAGGATTTCATGTGTGCCGCGTGCAGCAGGTCATGGGGAAAATCCTTCACCCGTATCACCTAAAATCGACCCGAATTCGGCTCAGAGAAATTAATCCTGGATCCCACCGAGATTAATAACAAGGAATTTAAAATGTTTCTCTCTTACAGAATTAAAAAAAGACAATGTGTACTATTTTGAGGCATCAATACTCATTTTGATTAAGATACATTCTATTAAAAGTGCGTCAGGAAATCATGTATAACAGAAATTGCATTAAATACAATTTTCTGTTTTTATATATGTCACTTCCACAGTAAGCGGCTTTTTTTGGCCACTACCAAAAGGTGCCTCTAGGTTGTGCTGTTGGTTTATGTACACACAAGTTCTCCTTATAAAATACCACAATTAGAAACTTTTCCATACAGTCATTCTCACACCGTCCGATTTTATTGCAGTTGTACAGTAGCACAGATATTTGTCTCATAAAAAAAGGTTTTGTATATTGAACCCATCTTTTTTTTTCTTTTAAGGACTGCAAGTGGAAGATGTACATGGAGCTTGATGGAGATGAGATTGCAGTAACTTACATCAAGGATGTCATCTTTAATGTCAACAGACAAGATGTGGAAATCCTGCGAATGACTAAGGTCTTTACAAAAGATTGAACCACTCATTCATTAATCAATTCTAAATTCTGTCTTTGTTTCTGACATAACTGGTTGCATTTTAACGCTGACATTGTTGCATCTTGGATACTCAGATTTTTTAGTGAACTAACATTGTTTTGCTACTCAGCCACCCTTTGTGATGGACAGATGGATCGTTGGAATACTGCAGAACCAAAAAGTTGACTACACTGTCAATTATGAGGTGAGAGGCAACTCACAAAACAAAGCATATAGATACATATATACATACGTGCACTTTGCTCTCAACTCTCCGTCTTTTGATGGCTGTGTTTGAAGTGCCAACAATCTCTCTGCATTTAACCAGAACGTTTACAAACCTTTTAGGAACACAGCGATGGTCCTCTGGAGGCCGTGTGGCCGCAGGGTAGATGGAAGTAGCCTAGCAGCTAGCTTAGCCTATCAGTGCATAACGTTTGAGACGAGGAGGAATTGCTCTGCACAGTTCTCTGCCGTCTGTCACGGTTCTGTTTGTTTCACTTCCAATGCAAAGAGCTCTCTGCGTCTTCAACTCCCATCTCGGTCTCTCCGGTCTAACTGACTGCAGGCACGCCACGGTTTCAGGGGTCAGGGGTCAACACACCAGAAGTAAACAAAGTTGCATTAACTGCGTTATAATAATTTATCGCATCTCAGCAATAATCTGAACTCTGGCAGCCCTAATATATGTATAATATATTCAGACAGTGTATTTGAATCAAATGAAATGAAAATGAATCAAATGCAATCACAGAATCCTCAACATCAAGTTTACTTATTTTTTACACTAAATATATTAAATGATATCATTTATTCTCCTTCTCTTCAGAGTGATGTCAAGTCACCAAAGTCTACCAGACACAGCTGTCCCGTGACGTGGAGTCACAGCGGTGGACAACCCGAGATCAAGACCGTGGAGCTGGTCATTGAAACAACGCCTGCTAACATCCCATTGAGCCCCATGGACAAGTCCTACTCTGGTAATTTATTACTGTCATTACTTAGCGAGTTGCCAAATCAACAGTTTTTCATTCCTGGAAAAATAAAGATGTTGAATCCCCTTAATTGAATCGATGCGTACACCTCACTCTTTTAGACATGGACACGACATGGATGTACAACGTGAGGCAGAGGCAGTTACACACCCAGAAAACCTCGCCGACAACAAACGCTCTGTCCGCCTTCACGAGCTCCGACGCCCGCACTCTGCCTCAGTTCCTGTCCGCACACGAAAGCCAGGGGTTTTCTTACGCCGCAGCTGTGCGTCGCTCTCCGAGCCGCGCCCACGCGTCCAGTTGGATCGACTCTCGCAGCTCCTCGCCAACCACCAGCCTGTCGGCCAAGCTCTCCTCGCTCCATTTCGGGTCGAAGGGCAGCAGCCCCTCCAGCACCACGTCGGAGAGCGCCTCGGAGAGGGAACGAGAGCGGCCACTCAGCGCTGGAGCCGCGCACGACCGCCGCAAAAGCCTCTACTTTGGCAACACATTAACTGTGGGAGGGGATCCGGGGAGGGGGCATGCATGGAACAGTCCTAGAGGTAACTGTGCTCATTATAAAACCAGCAAAACCTCCCGACAGCCAGGGAGGCCACGGTCCAATAGTCACAGTGTCACGCCACAGAACCGCCCCTCCGCGATACCAGGTATATTGTCTGTGACAGAAGACCCTGGCAAAGAAAAAGAGGGGGCCAAAGCCAGCGACGGAGGGTGGATCAAAGTGGAGCGACAGAAAAGATTACCACGTCAGGACAATAAACAAGTCAGAGGTCGACAGAGGAGAGGGGGCAGGGGAGGGCGTGGCGCCGCTGCAAGAACTTGATGGGGGCCACGCGTGAACCCAGCGCTTCCTGACACGTCGTGTTCTGAAAAGGTTTTATGGGAATAATGTCTGCTTGCGTGATGAAAATTAACTGCGTGTTGATGGGATGTATATATGTATGAACACAAGCTCTTTATATTATGAGAAGAAAACGGGCTTCTGTTGGGGGAATATAAATTATGTTTTTTTATTTTATAATTTAGTCTTTTCTCCTTGGTTTTCTTCCTTCTAATAAAAAGCACAAATGTCGACCCATAGTAGTGTTTATCTGTTCAAATGTTCTGAGCTGCGTCTTTAGTGGGGGTAGATGTATAAAATGCTCTTATGATTCCACTGTTTGACAATGGTCAAATGCAATAAGATGGGATACGCCTTGGTTGTTTCCCAACATAGGAAAATTTGTTTGCTGCAGCTGCTCAAGTACAGAACCAATGGAATTTAAATAGAGAAAATATGAAACAACAACAACAAGAGCCTTTAAAAACTGTAATAATAATAGAAGAAAAAAAGAGAAACTATCACAAGAGCAATAAAGACTTAATTACACAGCAATTTTAAGTAGTGGGATGTGATTAGGAAGCAGTCTATATACAGCACATCAGAAAATATTATATGATTAAAGGATTAGTTTAATCTAGAACTATACTATACGGTAAGTACATATAATGTATATAATGTACTAAAGGAATACAATATATCAACATGTAATATGCTACAGGATACATATATATATATATATATATATATATATATATATATATATATATATATATATATATATATATGTCGAACGTAAACTTCATAAACCGAGACGTGCAAAGTTCTATTAAATGTGGTGCAACACACCCATGTTCATGCTTCAATCATTCATACCCACTTCCTGTTGTTTATGAAACCCAGTTTCTGTCTTATCTCAGTTTTGTTGCCAGTCAGTGTTATCTTATTATTAGCCCCCCTTTTACTGCTCTTTAGTAAATTGAATTCCCGTATCTCCCTATTTCCTTTTCCAATATGCCCCTCCTTGAATTCCTTTATAAACTATACTCTTATAGTGAATATTCCTAGTTTATTAAAGTTCATGCACTTAATTTACAGGTCCTATCCGCTATGACGTGAAAGCGACTGATGTACTTCAACAGGTTAAATTTGGTTCTTTGTTGGACAGGAATCAACATTTTACCCGCCTTGCATGCAAATTCCGAAATAAAAAAAACTCGCGCCACAGCAAAGCACCTGGAAGGTCCACGTGTGTCCTTCTCTAAACGCGTCATAAATTAACACACTGGTGACGTTAAATCATCTAAAAGGCACATCAAACGTATTTTAGAAATCCCGTTAACTGACCACTGTTTTGTATTTTGAGGCCGCATCTCACAAAAAGCCTAAAGCTCGCGACTACATTTTATGCATCTTGTAGGACCTTCCGGTGGCGCGGAAACAAACCGCGGGAACTGTCTCTGCGTCTCTGCGTGTCTCTCTGTCTCAGTATTGTTCGCTGCAGAGCTGCTGCACTGTGTCCTTCTGCTTGTGTTGGTCGAGTATTTAAAGAAAACATGCCAGCCACCCGCTCCAAGGTAAGAAAACATTATCCGCAATACAACTTTATTACCGTGTTGGGTGAAAAAACGTCCCCTTATTACCACTTTGTAACACTCCAGTAAGGATTACCATTTGAGGGCAACGTTGAGAGTTCATCTTAAATTAACTTTAAGAAATTATTGTTAGCTTGTTAATGACTTAAATCCGTTTGATCTAGATACCTTGCATGGGCCAGTTCATATTTGTAGCTTACATTTGAATGTTGTTATATTGATTGGTTCATATACAGAAAATCCACATGTAATATGAGAATCAGATCAGTTCAGTTGAAGGACACCCCCCATGCTTCAGTTTACTGGTTGCGGCTTTTAAAAATATTCAGATATTTGAAAGATTACCACTTCTCTGACTCATTCATTTGTGATACTGGTCGAAAAAAATCAGTTTGAGCATGTGAACCCGGGCGTTTCTTTAAGTGTTTTATTTTAAACCAAAGGGTTGATTGAGAAAACATTGAGTAAACATTACTAAGTTCTCTCATGACTTATTTGAAGTCCAGCCAGTGAGATCGCTTAAAGAAATCCACCCAGGGTTCTGCAGATGTTACTTCAGAAGATGGTTTCCGTATTCTTATCCCGGCCTGATATGATGGCGTCCACAAAGTTCAAAGGTCACTGGTATCAGTGTCGGTGCTGGTATTCTCAGGTGCCTTAATGAAGTGTGTGGAAAGGACGCAGAAACCTTTCCTAAACTCACGTGTGATGATTCACAGAAACTGGCGGCCCAGCCTCCATCCACCAGGATGAGCTTGAGGAGCTTCCGCAGCGTCCCTCTGGTTCCCATGGAGACGTCCTCTTCTTCCTCTGACGACAGTTGTGATAGCTTCGGCTCCGACGGAGGCTTTGCAAACACGGTAAACAACAAACGATCCAAGTCCTCCCGCTGTGAATAAAACGCCGGTAAACATGCGGGGGGCTTAAGACGGTCTCTTGTGTTTTAGAGGATGATTTTAAGACCGACGAGGAGGACGTCAGAGAAACCGAAGGCGTTCAAGGCTTCGTCGGAGGAGGACACGTGCAGCGGGTTTGAGGAGAGTGGGATTAACAGCCAGATGAAGGCCATGGTAAGTTTCCTAGAACTGTATTAACAAACTTCATCAGAGACTGAGAAGGTTTAGTCCTAATCTTTAGTTTTGTGGTTCTGTCAGAAAGTAGACGCTGAACCTCCGAGACGTGGCCGCAGGCCCAACGTCCTGAAGGTCGCCATGACCTTCCCCACCAAGAAAACCTGCAAGAGGCCGGCGTCCCAACTCCCCCAAATTACAGTTCAGGAGTCCGACTCTGAGGAAGAAGAGAACTTCATCGACAAGAGAGCCCTGAATATTAAGGAGAACAAAGAAATGGTACAATCTTTTCTCTCTATTACGTCAGCATCTGGTATTATAACCTGAACTTTGACCTGCACAGCCTCCAGTTTTACTCCTTCATCCGTATTTTTTCTGTGACAGCTGGCAAAGCTCATGGCCGAGCTGAACAAAGTGCCCGGACTTTTCCCCGGACGGAGGTCAGCGTCTGCGTCCACCACGGTAATTTAACCCTGCCGAGAAACACTTGACTGTAAACATCTCACGGTGCACCGTCAGCGCTCTGCATTGACTGCTACCGTTTTCTTATTATTATTCTTATCTTATTCAGCCCCGCCGGTCCACGGGAGGCCGTTGGACAAACGGCGAGCGCCCGTCCCGCCCACACACCCGGTCCCGCACGCAGGTGGACGGACCCCCCAGCCCGACGCCAGAAGAAGACCCCGAGGACGTCTTCAGTCTGGTTCGCCGAAGTCGCTACTTCGAGGAAGCCGACGAGCCGGTGAGCGACACACTTCCGCCTGTCCGCTCACCTTTTATAATAACAATAACAGTACAGGCATTAACTACGGCCGTCGCCCCCCTCCTCCCCCCCCTGCAGGCCCGCCGGCGCTGCTACAGCGGCGTGAAGGCCATCGCCCACGTGGTGAGGCCTGTGGACGACATCACGGAGGCGGAGCGGCAAAGCATGGGCAACAACGTGCGGGAGAAGGTCTACAACAGATCCATCGTAAGTCCCGCCCCCCGCCCCCCCAACCATATATGCCTGTTGAGCTCTTTGCTGGAAGACCCCCCCCCCTTCTTTCTATTTGCAGGGATCCACTTGCCACCAGTGCCGCCAGAAAACGACCGACACCAAAACCAACTGCCGTAACCCGGAGTGCGTGGGGGTCAGGGGTCAGTTCTGCGGCCCCTGTCTTCGTAACCGCTACGGGGAGGAGGTCCGCGACGCGCTGCTGGATCCGGTGAGTTTCCCAAACGCGCCCGGTCGCGCTCACAGGCCCCGGTGAGTGCGTCGTGCGGGTCTGACGGGCTGTGTGTTTCTGGCAGGAGTGGCTGTGTCCGCCGTGCAGAGGGATCTGCAACTGCAGCTTCTGTCGGGCCCGAGACGGCCGCTGCGCCACGGGAGTGCTGGTGTACCTGGCGAAGTACCATGGATTCGATAACGTGCACGCCTACCTGAAAAGGTGACCGCGGCCACCGTAAAGGTTTGGAAGTGAGCTTGTTTAGAATTGATCTGTTCGTTAACACCGAGACTCGTTTTATTTTGGCTGCAGCTTGAAAAAGGAGCTGGAAGAGAGAGGCGAGTGAAACGGGGGAGGAGCTGATCCTGGACCTGACTGACACGCTCTATGAGCCCCACCAGTCCAAACGCTCGCCGTGACGCGATGCCAGTCGCTGTTCTTGTTTATAAAATGTCACATACTTCTTAAGGACCGACTGACGGCCGTGCAGGCGTTTCCCTCCCTTGAAGCTTGCTTTCATTTAGTTTCCCTGCCTGTTAGAGAGAGCTGAGCTTTTACAATACGACTGGTTGATTGAATACTAAGGTGGACCAAATCAGATCTTTTTGAAAGATGTCTCATACTTGATACTGTGGAACGTTCCCACGGGTCTTGAATGTTTAAAGACAAATGATGTACATATTCCCAAAGCATGAGATCATCCTGCTGCAATGACGCGCAGGCTTGTTAAGATGATCTACTGTAATCTATACATTGTTTTAAATGTACAGCTTTGACAATACCTACTTGAACGACTTTTTTCTTTCTATTTTGCAAATGAATGCTTGTGTTTTTACAAGTTTTGTAAATCTACCCAGAGTGTCATTTTTTCTCCTTCATTTAAAGCACAAAAGCTTGCTTTGGCTGCGTGCTTCTGCAGAAACGGGGATCTGCATGCCGCTCAGGTGGTGCGGGTGGAAAGGGCAAAGACTCTGGGGTCCACTGCCTCTCACTTTCAAACCGAGAGGAACTGCGTGATATACTACGGCGCCTGGTTAAATATCCTTCATTAGATAACTGTCACTAATGGTGTGGAAACAATTAGCACACTCTAATGGGAATCTCATACCTGTAAATCATTTTACCCTGTTAAAGCACATTCTCGCTCTGCTCCAGTCTCTTTGGCTCATTTTCTGCCTTCCCCTGCTAAGTAGGAATCGTTGAAGGTGCCACTGAAGAGGCAATAGAGTTATGGCCCCGCGTTTTCTGTTCAGAAGTGCGATACTCTGCGCGGAATGACATGGAATTAACCTTTTGTGTCGCCCATCTTGGAAATGTACTTCATTCGACCTGCACCGGGACACCGTGATTATATGAAACCGTTACAAAGAAATAATCAGCGGCTGAGATTTGCAGTTGTGGTGGCAGGTGGAGGTTATCCTGCTGCTGCTGCTGCTGCTGCTCGTGTTTATCAGGCACAGGAAGAGCGACGCTCGACGTGTCTGTGCTGATCCTTCGATTTGTGCCCATTGCTCATTTAACCGCACATTCAACATTAAAGTCTTTTATCACCGCAGAAGCAGTTGTCTTTGACTCCGACTGTCCCTCCACCCACAGCCGGGACCGCTGGTGTCGAAACATACAGGAGAGAGCTGCGATGACGCCGCTGTACCGTCGTGAACGTACATTTACATTCCTTAGTAGGCGGAAACTAATGTTACGTGGCTGAAAAGATGACGCCATCTTGTCTGCACGCGTTTCATCGGGTCAAATAAGGACAATTTACAACCACAGGCTGCATTAGAGGTACTACATGAAAAAAAACAATAAAGTAGAAAACTAGTCAATGTTTGAATTCCTCAAAAAAAAAAAACTGTTAGCCAACCTGTTTACGATTATTATATGAATATTGATATGAATCGTCTCAGTGTTGAATTGATGGACGAGCTTTATTGGCCCGACATGAGCGCAGAGGGAGCATCTTCATCCTGTGCTCATGTAGACATCCCGCCCCTTTATTCTACAAATACTGGTTTGCTGCTATATTCATGTTCAGAAATGTTCAACACGGCCTCCTCAGGACACTCAGAAGTTTCCGTGACCACGTTTAGTAGAAAATGTTCCTGGGGCTTGAAAACGAGTGGGCCGACTTCACGCCCTCGTTGTGGTCTCGGTCCGTCTGCATCGTTGAGAATTTGCAGTGTTGTTCACACCAATAGGAAGAAGCAATGTCTGTTTCCAGTTCACGGTGTATTTTGTCAGAATGGCTACAGCAAATATTGCAGAATATTGACTTCACCATCTTAGACAATCAGTGGAGGAATGTGCAGCGGGAACATCAGGCCCTCAGAGACTCCCCATCCAGGCTTTGAAGGTGAGCTCATGAATCCATCGGCCCTTCGAGTTCGAGTCTATTGACACGGCTCCCTACTACGCCGACTCGGATTTCACCCCGTTAGCTTTTACAGACAAAACATGACCCCAAGAGATGAACTTGTAGCCGCCGCTTTGCTCCAAAGCAAAAGGATTGTAGGCGCATTGTTAGTGGTACCTGGAAGATGTGCTTCAACTCTTCACACACCGTTGGATGACATCCTTGAAATTTGAAATGATCAAATCAGATGTCATTTACTTCAGACTAAATGTGTTAATGTGCCTGTTGATGCTGGCAAACATAAAACTAGTTTGGATTGTTTATAGCAGAATGCCTTACAACAATATTTTTTTGTAAGGTTTCAGATCATACGGGCGGTCGAAGGTTAACTTGAGCCAATATCGGCCTCTCATCTGTTATATCAAAGTCGCAGATTTAATTGAACTTTTTCAAGGGAAAAATATACAGTTATTTCGTACCGAGAGTTTGGTGACAACATCGTTTCCATGTGTGTACGACGGGCATGTAACTGGAGCAAGTAGCCGGCTAGTTTAGCTTAGCTTAGCATAGCGATTGGAAACAAAAAGATACTCTGGATGGGATGGACATGTAAGATCATCCAACCAGCTCGCTCTGGAAAAAACTCACACAGCGACTCATAAAATTCCTGTTTTATACAGAATATGTTTGTCACGATACACACATTACCGTGGTGTCCATCTTCTCATCTCACTCACGCCAAGAAAGCAAGTGAACACCTCTTGAAATGTAGGAATTATAGGAATTATTTTGCAATCAAATAATTGTTTCCATTCACAAATCCAAATGGGTTCTCTATCCTTGCTGTTAATTTATAATGAAGTAAATCTAGTGTTTATTGATTAGACAACTGTTGACACAATGAAACAAAATGATGAAACACAATATTATTGACACAGCAATATTACACAAAAAATCTGTGAGGAATGCAAAACTGAATAGAGTTCATTACATACATTTGTAGTATCTGTGGTATATTTGTCAGTGGAACATTATATTTGGAATACCACTTCATAATTACGGTAAATGGATTATACAAAAGTAAACATAACATAGATAGGATTGATTTTTGTATCATTACACATTAATAATATAGTAGATATTATAAACCTGATAATACTAATACGTTTTAACTTATATTAAACAACTCCCCTTTTTTGCCCCCAAAAGGAAAATTTCAAAAACTATTATTAGTATAATAAAGATGCACTTGAAAATACTAGTCCTGTATTAAATACCAATGATCATCCACTTTGGCGTGATGAATATTTAGGGAAGTAATTGTTTACAACGCTCAAGCATTGAGCTGATCTGGTAATCAGGCTATGAAATACAATATTTATTCATTAGAGCAGATTTAATGAGGCCTTGCGGCGCTAATTATGAAAACCAGTGTAGCAGCAAATGAGTAGCGCGCGGCGGCGGCGGGCTGCGGGGTACCTGTGAGGAGGGACGGGGGGTTGAAGTGCCACGAGACACTGAGCAGCAACACACAGCCCCGACTACGACCGCCCGGCCCACAGCTGCACATCAGCCGACCTGCAGACAGGACGCAGAGGGGCCCCCACATCCCAGCATGCCCTGCTCTCCTGCCTCCAGGAATTAACGCAGGTTTCCCCCCCCAAAAAAGCATCTGACCGTCCAGACTTTGCTTTCTTCTTTTAGTGCGACAGAGTAGGAAACCTCAGTTCAGCGGTGCTTTTAGGTGCTACGTGCTCAGAGCGGCGAAGGCTTTTAAATATTGCGTCCCTGGTGCACCGCCTGCAATGATCCTGAAACAGGTTGAGCTCTCTATTCTGCAGTTTATATTTGTATGCAGGTCTGAAGATACGCGGCAGTGTTCACAGCATAATATGGGTTTTGATTGACTGATATTTTCATTATGGCTGCAGGGTAGCGTGGAGACTGTTAATTTGCTTGGGAGTCCTGCAGGTCTACGGTGATTGTAGTAGAGCCAGAAGAAAAGCTGAATAAATGGAACTCACAGGGCACAATCACATTCCGTGGGTCAAAATCAACTGATTAATTATAATTTAGAATCAATCTGTCAGGCCTCTATAATAAACACCCTTTCAGATCTGATACTTAATAACCAGCTTTACAATGTAACGCGGAAGCTAAACACATTACAAGGAATACGTTCATGATAAAAAGGACGAGTACAAATTGTGATAATAAAATGAGAAATTAGAAAAGCAAGACAACTTTCAACACACAAATCTCCCTTCTGGCTCTGACCTCTACATCCTGTAAAGTGTCGTCGAGGAGAGTGCTGTTAAATGCACAGTGAGTGACTCTGGGTGGCAGAAGGCTTGTGACACGTTCCTTTCCTCCAGTACCAGGCTGCAAAGTGATGGAAACCGCAGTTTGGTCCAGGTGTCAGGGACATTATCAAAGAAAAGGGGCTGCCTGCAGTTGCTCCATCTCACAGGAAATTGCCAACTCACCCTAACAAAGAAAAGGCATAAGTGCACTTGCTGCCGCCTTCAAGGCGAGTGTGATAAGATGACATTATAAATACAGAATTGTTCACGGAGGTGGAGGGGTAGGCACATCAGGAAGCTGAACTTGACAATTCTGTTTTTCACAGCGCAGCTAAAAAGCCTGGATGGGTTTATATACAAGAGAATCAGCTTCTTATCCGCTCGGGATTCGTCCGTTTCATAAATGTGTTAAGCTGGCACTGTAGATGTTTGTACTGGCACTGTAATTGCAGCTTTTCGTTGGGGAGGGAAAAAAACACAATCTAGATTACTTTAACAAGAAGCATTTATGGGGATTTTAATTGATTATTTCATTGGATGCAAAGTATTGTCTTTGCCACCAAGGCCTACAAAATGCTTAGCCATGATCTATGAAATGATGCGGACCTGCTGGAGCATCACACTGACGCTTCTCACTGTGAGAGGCTTGGTTCTTCACGGGACCTGAAGGGGGAGCTCTAATACAGGCAACTTGCTGCACTTTATCATCCCTAAACTTTCAACAAGTCTTCAGGAAATGGAGGAGAAAGTGAAAGGGCCATCACGGCTTTGCCTCACATATCTCACACATTTGATCAGGTGCGTGGATCTCTGCTCAACACGCTCAGAGTTGTGCGACGTGTGCCAGAAACCCGAGTGGTTTGGTAAACCTTAACGCCTTCAAAGAGGCTTCTTCTGCAGCCGCAGGCCTCAAAGCGGACTATTTAGTGAGCCGACAGGAGGACGGTGTTGTGAAACTTCACGTTAAGGAGTCCAGCAGCGCACTTGGGTTGCAGGAGGGGGGAGAGAGCAGTGGGTGTGATTATGACCAGGGGAACACAGGGTTGTAATCTGTAAATCTATTCTTACCCTAAGTGAGAACTGGTACATTGGATTGATTTTATTGAGATCATACATTATAAATGGGGCATGGAGGAGCTTACAGCCTTTAGATGGTGGTGCTCACGTGCTTCATTAATTTTTACTTCATTAACTCTCTCCTTCAGACCCTTCGACACACAATTCACTGCCGACCATGAATCCTGGCTACAGGCAAACGGACAAGCCTGGGTCGCCCCTCAGTGGAGTGCACACGCTGAAGTAACGCTGTCAAAACAAATCAGTAACACATGAAATATACATAACCGCTGATCAATGTGTATTCATGCGCTTCTTCAAACTTTTTATAAAGGACAAAAGTCACAATGAGAGCAAGTTTGGCAGTCAGGAAGCTGCTCCAGTCACAGAAACCAAAAGCATCAGTAACACCGACGGGGAAAAGTCCACAATACGTCTTTTACATTCAGCGTTTCTTGTTAATTCTGCTACAAAGCCATTTTGGAACGATTAACAAGTGTCGCCTTTTTCAAAATTCATTTGCGATTGATTGAAAATCCAGCAATATAATCGGAGGACAGAGCCTCGACCTCACAAAGCTGCTGCATTCCTTCAGTTTACTGCTTCTATACGTACCAATTTACAAACCAATAGGTGCTGCCGCGGTCGCTTTCTTCATTCGCAGCAAGGAATTTCAGGTTTCCAGCGGTGGGCCCTTTTGAATGGACCATTTGTTTAATATTATAGCCTTAAACCTAACAATAGCAATCAGTCAAGAAAGCACCTATGCATGCTGCTCTGCCCCGCGTCACCATTAACTCCAGACAAGTGATGGCCTTCGCTGGTTTGCAAGGTGAGAGA